AAAAGCATTAGCAATTAATCGCAACATGAAAATTTGATACCGGCATATCCCTAGTCAACAATAACCAAAAAACATAAAGTGGTCTTCAGGAACAGGAAAGATGTACAGGAAATCACAAATACAGTCTGTTAAGTTGAGAAGGTTTATTTTTAAATGACTGTTGCAAACCTCTATTATTGTAATTTGTAAATATAATGGCTCCATGAGGGATAATGACTATATGCAAAGTCAAATCATCTGACCATGTGTTGACATAAGAGTAAAATAGCAGTGTGGAAGATTGTTGTTTACATACAGTCACAGACTAAGTGATTATTTATAGGTCCACACATAAACAGGGAACTAAAAGAAAGCAGCATAGGATGGCTATTTTCAGACCAAGGGATTAGCCAGGATCAAAGGGAAGTTAATTAGGGAAAGAGTAGGACAGGATAGAGTGCTAACAGTGTAAGAGAGACAATACCAGTTACTATTTAGAAACTCAGATGACATATTCATCATAAAGGCAACAGCACGTGTAATCGTCCCCTGGAGTAAGCATGTATTTGGAGCCATACAGAAAGTTATATAATCATAATAATATATACTCTAAATAGTTTATGGATCATCACTAGAGTGGTTTGAAACCCATTAGATCGTTTGGTTCTGATATATTTAATACACAAATTGTATCTTTTTGCATGACATATCTGTTTATTATACAAGCAGTTTTAGAACTCTGCACTGTAAATTTTTCAATACACTGAATATTCATACAGTATGCACACTACTGTTCAAAAGTTTCGGGCGGTAAGATTTTTTATGTTTTTTTAAAGAAGTCTGTTAAGGCTGCATTATTACAGTAAAACAGTAATACTGTAAATTATTATTACAATAACTGCTTTCCATTTGAATATATTTTAAAATGTAATTTACTCCTGTGATGACAAAGCCGAATTTTCAGCAGCCATTACTTAAGTCTTCAGTGCCAGAAAGCATTTTAATATGCTGATTTGGATAATATGCACAGTTCTATGTATTTTAATTTAGGATTAGTAGGGCCATTTAATTAAATGGTATATTTAATATCTCATCCAGATAATTTCACAGTAAAAAGGAAAAAATATTAAAATGTAATCCACAGACAGAAACATACAAGCCTGCAGGGAAAAAAATGTTAAGTCTAATTTGATCAAATTCGATTAGAGCATAACAGCCAGCACAGGTCCAGAATGCAAAAATGCAGTTGTTTCATAATCTAAGTTACACACTGGCCGTGACTCAAAACCTAATGGGCCGTCTACCTACATAGACAGTATTTGGGGGTATCATAATCTTATATTTTGCACATTTATGGCATTTTTTGGCATGCCTGTGACGCCCAAAAATGCTGTCTATGTATGTTGAGAGCTCACTGGGTTTTGAGAAAATGCCTGTCAGTCAGTCTATAAGACGTTAGTTCCCCACCCTGTACTTATTACCCAATGCGTACTTAAGACAAACTTCAAACAGCTACAAAAAGCAAGCAAGTGTCCATTTTAAGTAACAATGAACAAATAAACTTGCATCGAACAGACACCCACACACACACTCGTACTGGGCTTGTCTGGTCAAGTCTTGCTTCGACGGCTTACACATTCTCCAGCTTTACCAAGTAACTTAACTAGGCACTTTGGTCCAATGAAATGTCTAAGTTAACATTTAAAAGAAACACGTAATATCGCTTTTAATACTTCGTTGCATTTTAATGTCGACTTATAACTATGAAGCACGCACTTTTTTTGTATTTCAGTTTGAGTTTTGAGTTTGAAAAGTAGCGAAACTCAAAAGCGCAAACCTTTTGTTTGAATACAGCGTTTGCAAATTGTAAACTAGTAACGTTAGTCCAAGTATGCACTTCAAGACTGTCCACTGACATTCCTCCGTGGCACGAAGTATCGGATTAAATGTTATCTCACACAATCACCGCGTAACAACACTCCTTGATTAAACGTAACATAACCTACCTCATTCTCCATATGCCCCACCGGCAACTTCTGCCAGGGGTCTGCAAACTGCGCCAGCGGCATCTTCAAGTCCCGATCTATAACTTACGATCAACCACCGTGAAGTGATTTGACGCTGTCAGTCAGTGTAAAGTTGCACTAAAACAGTCCCACAAAGAGGATGGTCCCTAACTGTAAACGTAAATAAAAGAAGAATTCAGTTCAGTTGCCTTCTGGGTAGCTTTTTACTTCTAAAGTGTCCGGTTCCTCTTGGCAAAAATTCAAAAGATGTTTTTAACAGCAGAGGAATACACTTCCGTTTTCGCTCAACATGGCGTCGTCGCCCCGTTTGTTCACCTGTCTGTCAGAACGAGGCTGGAGGAAACGTCACCATGCGTCATAGAGCGAGGGACGCTGTGGCCACCCACTTTTTACACACCATGCACAGTACATGCCATGAGTCCTCAGGTAGTTTAATTTGGTCAAGGAATGATATCTTGAGATATTAAATGTATTTTTCATATCGCCTATTCAGAGTCTTTATCATCTCTGCTGCTTTTTGTACAAGGCAGTCTGAATCACGTTGGAGGATCCTCGGTTGTGCTTCATTTCTGATTATGTAGAACATACAGGTGCATCTCAATAAATTAGAATGTCGTGGAAAAGTTCATTTATTTCAGTAATTCAACTCAAATTGTGAAACTCGTGTATTAAATAAATTCAATGCACACAGACTGAAGTCAAGTATTGAGTACATGTACAGTAAATGAACATACTTTCCAGAAGGCCAACAATTCACTAAAAATGTTTTTTTTTATTGGTCTTATGAAGTATTCTAATTTGTTGAGATAGTGAATTGGTGGGTTTTTGTTAAATGTGAGCCAAAATCATCACAATTAAAAGAACCAAAGACATAAACTACTTCAGTCTGTGTGCATTGAATTTATTTAATACACAAGTTTCACAATTTGAGTTGAATTACTGAAATAAATTAACTTTTCCACGACAATTTATTGAGCTGCACCTGTAAATCCTTTGATCATAAAATCTGTTTAAATCTCTTTTCCCTGCGTAGCATCCACATGTTTTGATCTATTAAGTCCTCCATAAGAAAAACACACACATGTGGCACTTTTTTAATAAATGAAGTGCACAAGCAAAAAAAACTGCAGATGGAGGGAAATCACAACAGCACAGCTGATAAAAACTCATCCAGCAGTACCAGAGGGCTTAGAAAAAAGCTGATTTGAGGATTGTTCTTTAATCCTACAAATAAAGAGCTAATTTCTTGCTCACATGCCACATTAATGGGAAATATTTAATTATTTGTTATGGTCCCTTCAGTATTAATAGCTGTGTGAGCTCCCCAATTCATGCTGTCTTCAACCTTGTAAAACCTAACATAAAATAATAATAGTAAGAATTCCTTTTTTTAATTGCAGAGTTTAATGAAGAGTTAAATTTAGACAAGACATATGCATTTAAAAATAGTTTGCATATATGTTTTGTTTCATATTTGATACATAGCCTACATGGAAAATATATTGTGACTTAAGATTATGGAGCTCCACACGAGGAAGAAACATCACAATGTTATTCAAAGATCCAAAGAGAGTGAAAATATGTAATAGAATTTATTAGATGAAATTCTGATAGCTTGTGATGTAAATCAATGAGATTTTTATAACAGAATAGCAGACTACTTACAAAAAAATGCATATAAATAAGAGCTAATTTCTTGCTCACATGCCACATTAATGGGAAATATTTAATTATTTGTTATGGTCCCTTCAGTATTAATAGCTGTGTGAGCTCCCCAATTCATGCTGTCTTCAACCTTGTAAAACCTAACATAAAATAATAATAGTAAGAATTCCTTTTTTTAATTGCAGAGTTTAATGAAGAGTTAAATTTAGTCAAGACATATGCATTTAAAAATAGTTTGCATATATGTTTTGTTTCATATTTGATACATAGCCTACATGGAAAATATATTGTGACTTAAGATTATGGAGCTCCACGCGAGGAAGAAACATCACAATGTTATTCAAAGATCCAAAGAGAGTGAAAATATGTAATAGAAAATATAAATAGAATTTATTAGATGAAATTCTGATAGCTTGTGATGTAAATCAATGAGATTTTTATAACAGAATAGCAGACTACTTACAAAAAAATGCATATAAATATCAGTTACTCAGTATCTCAAAGTAATGCCTTAAGACGATTTTTAAATTCTGTAAAGTATCTAGTTTTAACAGCTTGGAGGATGTGATACATTTTAACATGATATATGTTAAAAACATATATATACATATATATATAAAGATGTACAGATAATCAAGTAAACTCAAACTGCTTCTTCAGACCAGTAAGTACTCATCTTGAAAAATTTATAACAATGTAAAAGCTTTTTTTTAGTTTGTTTACTTGGGGAAAAAAAAAAAAAAGCTTTACATGTTTAACAAGATGAAGGGAAGGGGGATATTTGTAGAATTGTACTAAAAGGCTTTTTACGTGCTAAAAAGTATAACCTGTCAATCAGACGTCAGAAGGCATGTAGATTGTGTAAAGCAGGTTTTTCTCCATGTTTTGACCATGTATCAAATATGATAGGCTTAAGGATAAGGAATGTTTAACAAAATGTAGAACAACAAAGGCATCCACTCACAACAAAAGTTTGTATTTGAAATATTTATTTGTTGTTGTATGGTATAAAGACCACATTGGATGACACATACATTGCCTGATCTTGTTGACTCATCCTGGCCAATACAGCAAACGTTTTAAGCTGTGACCCCGATGCCCCCTTTAACATCTCAACAGCATCCTAACATCTATTGCAACAATTGTTACTTTCCCAATTACCAGAGATTTTAAACAAATTCTATTAAAACAACCATTAATACACTGGAATTGCCAAATGTGAAGTTATATCCCCAGTAACATTGTTTGTAACAAAAGCAATTTTTCATAATATATACACATGACAACAAAAACCCAGTTTTAAATAAAAGTTCAAGAGAGTGAAAGGGTAAGCATCTATGAACCTTTTCCCATTCTAAAGCAACATTTTAAGCTGTGTTTAATTTAAATCTTATTCATCTTAGTTTTCATTTGCATTTTTTGTTTAAACACTCAAACACTTGATTGAATTGGCAGAGTGTTAAGAAACAACCGAAATGAAATATCCTATTTTAGATCCCATAGATATCACACAAACTTTTTGTAATATGGCCACAGATTTACAATTTATAAATGTTAATAAACATTTCCCTTTAAATATTTTGTCAAATTAGAACTGCAAAATGGTTGCATTTCACAGACACCTCAGTCAAAACACACTCGTTGATATATAAACTGATGTGTGTGTGTGTGCGCGCATTACATTATTTATTTATGACATATATTTCCAATATAAGATGAAAAAATATCTAGGTTTTAAAATTATAGTCAGGGTCAGTATTGTAGTTGATGAAGACAACAAGAAAACAAGCCAATGATAAAATGTGAAATGAAGCAACTTATCACAATGTGGCTGAGAGATTTGGCTGAGTTTCCCAATAACTGTCTATGAAATCTATAGCCATAGTGGAGGTGATCATATTTTTCTGTGAGCTTCAACAGGAGAGGGTCAACTGGTAGGAAGAGGCGGGGACTTAGGATGATAAGGAAGGCAATTTAGCTGACAGACTTGAGCTTGGTCCAGGGGTTAGTGCCACGCACTTCCATAGGAGGGTTATTGTAGAAGATGTGGTTGCAAAGATCATCCAGTGGAGGCTCAGGGTCTGTGGTGGCAAACTGAGCGGCATCTTCAATCTCCTTCCTTACCTCGACATCAATCTCCTGTAAAAGGTGTCAGTGTTTAGTGAAACTGCAGAAATGTCCATCTTCCAGCACGAAGAACTCGCATTCTTCAGTATAACTGATTAATCCATATCCTTATACACCAATGTGACTGACTCAGAAAATTCACACTCAAGTGAACTGTGACTGTCTCAATGATTGTGTCCTACTTCAGTCTGTCTCTCGTGAGTATGTGCAGTCTCACCTTAAGCTCCTCCACGCTGGCCATGTTGTTGCTCAGCATGCGATCCTTCAGCATCGAGATGGGGTCACTCTTGCTGCGCACCTCCTGGATCTCCTCACGCGTGCGGTAACTATGGGAACAGTAGATAAGAAGAGCAAAGGTTGTCACATATGGGGAGGAGCACTAATAGAAAAAAACATTAGGTATATAGAAAAACAATCAGCAGTTGTTTTAATGAGGTTCAGTGTAGAGGTCTTCACAGGTCCACTTAGATCCGAGACCTGAGTGGGTTCGGGTCCAAAACTTTGACGAGTGCCTCGGACACGGGTCGAGGTATTAGTTGCCTCGTGTCTCGGGTAATTTAAAATAAATGTGCTTTTTCCAAATGGACCCGATAAAAGCCAATCCCTTTAACGTACCTGCGTGTTAAACACGCGTAAAAAAAGGAACATACGTTTGTAACCTAGCACACAGAAACTCATACGGTGCGTCTTCATGCAGGGCAGTGCTTTTCATTTTTGTGTGCAGAATCCCTTCACCGGGGATGAGGTAAATAGCACTGCAGAACAGACAACACTAGCGAATTCCATGATTTATTAGGCTATTGATTTAATTTTTATCGAGCTATCGCGTTTATTTTTCCAATCCACTGGTCACAATTGAAAGCCAAACTCAGAAATAACTTGTATCCATCAGGCAGGTAATAATATAAAGTAATAATAAATTAAATAAATATTAAATAAAACAAAGGAGAAGCGGCCAAATCAGTCAGCAGGACACCGGGATTTTTCTCTACTGACTGCGGGGCTGCAGGCTGTGCACACGTCAATGCATTTACGTTCAGGTACAGTCTTGTTCGAAAATAAATGCCATCGGGTCGGACTCGGGTCTAATTTTATCGGGTTTTTCTTTAAAAATAAATAATGCATGTCGGGTTTGGGTAAGAACTGATTCAGGTCGGGTACAGATTTTAGGACCCGAGAAGACCTCTAGTTCAGTGATAGTAAGTAGAGCTATGCCAAATACACTTTTTTTTCTTTTCTTTTTTAAAGAAATTGATCCTTTTATTCATCAAGGACAGATAACATTTATCAAAAGTTACAGTAGAAACATTTATAATGTAACAAAAGATGTCTATTCCAAATCATTTTGAATTTTCTGTATCATCTTTCCCACAAATTATTTAGCAATACAACTGTTTTAAACACTGAATAAGAAATGTTAAAAAATAAGAAATGTTTCAAGAGCACCAAATCAGCATATTAGAATGATTTCTGAAGGATCGTGTGACACTGAAGAAATGGCTGATGAAAATTCAACTTTGCCATCACAGGAATAAATTACATTTTAAAATATATTAAAATAGAAAACTTATTTTAAATTGTAATAATATTTCACAATATTACTGTATTTTAATCAAATAAATGCAGACTTGGTGATCTTAAGAAACTTCTTTCAAAAACATTTTTTTTTTTTTAAACATCTCACTGACTCCAAACATTTGAATGATAAAGTATGTTACCCAGTTTGAATAGTAAAGCAGTTTAGATATAAAAACACATGTATTTCAGTTACTAAAAGGTGTCGTTCACTGTATAACGAAGACCTCTTGTACCTACGCTCGTCTAAATATAATCCAGGAAGACTGCTTGTTGCTCAAAGCAATGGTGAGCTTTGGTTGAGATTATATAAAATATTACCTGACTCCTGGGTCACTCATACTGTGTCCATGGTAACGATAGGTCTGCAGCTCCATCAGAATGGGACCCTATGAATATAAATTTCAGGTGTTTTATTATTGCTACATAACTGCTTGTATCCTATGAGCATATCTGCAAATATAAAATATTTTATAAGAAGTTTAACGATTATCTATTATTCTTTCGTTGCCGCTGTGGAATTGCCCATATAAATACTGTGCATAAAACACATCTTCAAATATCATACTTCCCAACAGAGCTAATAATATTTTTTTCCATCCCTACAATTTGACATCACTCTAACCAGAGCTCACCTTTCCTGATCTGCAGTGTTCAGCAGCAAATTTGGTGGCCTCCCTTACACAAAGAATGTCCATGCCATCCACCTACAATGCCAGAGAAAGATATTCTGACATAAAGGGTAAATTCAGGCACAAGTAAAAGCACGACGAAGTGTCCATCCTGCATCATACCCTCAATCCAGGGATGAAATCGCCTCTCTTGTAGTAGTCAGTACTAGCGGCTGCTCTCTCCACAGAAGTACCCATGCCGTATTTGTTATTCTCGCAAATGAAGATGCAGGGCAGCTTCCACAGGGATGCCATATTATACGTCTCAAAGATCTGACCCTGCAGAAACAGTGCAAAAGTATGTGTGAAACCTCCCTGTACAACCACTGCTACAGACCCATCATAATGCACAAGTTAGAAGGTAAGGTAAAGCAGTACATGGACAGCACAGAAGACAGATCTGTGTGAAATGTTATTAGCAAGTAGCTAAATCAGTCATTAGGACTTGCAGCGGGTGAACACTTGACTGTTGCGTAGAAGTGACTTACCTGATTTGCAGCACCATCACCATAGAGACAGACACACAGCTCATTCTTGCCCAGGTATTTGCAGGCCAACGCTACACCTGCCCCAAGAGGCACCTGGGATACACATGTGTGAAATATAAATAGTTATTTTTAATACTTAATCAGTATTGATACCAGCTCTCTATTCATAAGGGACTCCAGTCGATTCATTTAAAGTACCTGAGCTCCCACAATTCCGTTTCCTCCATAAAAATTTTTAGTGTACATATGCATAGACCCTCCCTTTCCTTTAGCAATACCTCCTCTACGGCCTGATGGAGAAATAGAGACACATAGAAGAGGGATAGAATAAACAAATAGATAAACAAACAAACAAACAAATAAAAAAAATAAAAGATAAATTTATAAGAGATCACAACTTTAAACTATCGGTTTTGTTGTTCTCACCTGTGAGCTCTGCCATGATCTCACGAACGGTGCCCCCTCTAGTGAGAGTGTACGCGTGGGCACGATACGCTGTGATAAGATGATCTGATAGATTAATACCTGCCTCAATACCGACCGCACACGCTTCCTGTTAGAGGACACAATGTACTTGTAAGTGTTTCTGTCTCCACCAAGTTGTCAACATTTGAACCAATTACAAATGACGTTTGCAACCATGTGAATCAAAACATATAATAATATTAAATTTGACTATTTTGCACTGGCAAAAGTGAGTGCTTAGAAATGAAAGAGTCTCTGATCATCTTCTGCTTGTAAATATGATGTCTGTGTGTTTGCAGTGCATGTGGCACCTGTCCATCATAAAGGTGACAGAAGCCCCTGATGATCTTCTGCTTGTAGAGCTGATCGGCTTTGAGCTCCATGCGTCTCATGGTCTGCATTGTGCGGTAGTACTGAAGCCCCTCCTCTCTTGAAAGCATGGCCTGCAGTGGTGGGCCTTCCTCCAGCTTGTGTAAGTCACATTTCTGCCAAAAAATTTAAAATACATAAAAGCTTTCAAATGCATTAAGATACAGTAAAATGCACAGTACAAAAGTTCAAAAGCTTGGGGTCAGTAAGATTTTTACTGTTTTCGAAAGAAGTCTGCTCACTAAGGCTGCTTTTTTTTTTAATCAGAAATAAAGTAAAACAGTAATATTGTGAAATATTATAACAGTTCAAAATGAGTGTTTTCTATTTTAATATATTTTAAAATGTAATTAATTCCTGTGATGGAAAAGCTGAATTTTCAGCAGCCATTACTCCAGTCTTCAGTGTCACATGAGACTTTAGAAATCATTCTAATATGCTGATTTGGTACTCAAAAAAAAAAAATAATTTCTTAGTATCAATGTTGAAAGCAGTTGTGCTGCTTAATATTTTTATGGAAACTGTGATACATTTTATATTAATTTCTTTCAAAATATAAATTTCTTTAAAAAATAAATTACAGACTCCAAACTTTTGAACGGTAGTGTATACGCACTGAAATATATATTACATAATAAATTAAGTAACTGCTGATCTGATAAACTCACCTTAATATCAAAGGTGGCCTGAGGGGTAAAGTCTGCATAGGTCCTGGCAGATACCACCACTCTTGCACCCTATGAAACATAAATAATAACAGAAAATACATTTAAAAAATCCTCTACTGAGAAAATGAGTGAAGATGGTAAAAAAAAAAAAATAGTCACATAGAAACACAGACACACACACACATCTGACAGGAACTGAGATGTTAATATCAAACATAAGTATCAACATTGATAACATCAATATGTCAAAAGCACTCTGTCTGAAACAGGAAGCAAGCCAGGGGACAATGAAATATATCTGTAATAATCCGATGTACATAACCACTGCAATTTTACCCAACAACTACATCAACAAACTTGCAATCTAATACCAATAAACCAACACTTAGGCCTAGATGTGGAAAACTGACACAGTGCATGTTATCATCTACACTGACTTTGCACATCTCTTTGATTATAGGGTTGGATGTAGAAAACTGAAACATCACAAGGAATCCATCCACAATTAGATGTGGGACCAACATGCTGAGTACTTTAACAGATCTTTTGCTTCAGGTATGTAACCGTAACAAAGAACGAATAACGTTTGTAGAAAAAAAAATCTGTTTAGTGATTGAAGAGTCATTGGCTGAAGCATTGTGAGCTGGAAAATTCAAGTGCTCTGGGAAAAGTGGAAGGGGCATGCAATACTCCATAAGGAGGGTTAAAAATAATGTTAAGCTATGTATATGAAAGAGGCAGTGTATTTTAATATAGGGGCTGCCAGTACTCACAGCAAGCTGTGGCTCTGGTAAGGGAGTCTCTTCAGCCAGGCTGTGGGTGATCTCTGGGAAGGAATTATCAAGGCCCAGGAGGCTCCTGGCTGGTGGGGGACAATTGGACGCAAGGGGGTCTGTGCTGGTTAGGGTAAAACTGCTGTTAGCTACTGCAGGGGTTAACTGTGCTGGACTGGTGGCTGGGTTAATAAGCGACTTAACTGTATTTAGGGCAGGTGATGGAGGAACATCTATAACGGGACTGATGATCTTTTCAAATATAGTTTTTTCTCTTTCTGATATTCTTTCCAGAGTAACCATGCTTAATTCTTCTGAGGTGGATGAACCACTAGTCATCACCGGTTCCACATAACTTTCTTTCTGAGCTATAGCCTCGGAGGAAGCAACATCTGTCAGAGGTCTGTCATGTGGTCCCGAGTCTCCTGAAGACTGGCCACTGCCTAAAGCTTTGTATTCTACGGGAGCGTTTAAAGGTATCTGTGTTAATGGAGAGGAAACTGAAGGACTGTGGGGTTGTGTATCTTTTAAGCGTGAAGGGGGGTTGAGATCATGGTCATGTGGAGAGGTCAAATTAGCATATTCGCTCTGGACCGCCAGGAGCTGCAGAATGGCCCAGAGAGTGGAGGACTGTAAAAAGATGGGCACAGGTCACTCCAGAGGGTCAGACTCAGAAGACCATAAGAAGGGAACGTTTAAAGGAGCAAGACGAGACTTTTAGGTGTTTAGAGACCACAAAGACGACATTTTACTGCACTAAACCAATAAAAATCTAATCTATGCTAACCTACACTAAGCTACTCACAGGCAATAAACAACTGTTGATGGCTACCAGCCAGATAACATTCAAATGGTCAAAATGGCCGATGTTGATACTGATATCTAGACAGCAAAGTGCCCGATAATCAATATAATGCCGATATCCACACATCCAATTTAATAATGAGAATTGAGAATTTAATCATGAAATATTTTAAGCAATATTTACTCCGAATTCACTAAAAAATTTATCCATTGACAAAGCTGTTGTCAACTTTTAGAACTGATACTGACATCTTTGTTAATCACATGGACATATAATATTGGCCAAATCATATCACAAATTCAAATACCAGAAAGCCTCAATATCTCTCAAACAGGTTTCAATTGATGTCCTATAAAAAATATTCATGACAAAACTGGGAGTGCTTTTAACATACATGTGTGTGTGTGTGTGTGTGAGAGAGAGAGAGAGAGAGAGATTAAAAGGGAAGATGTGAGCTGTAGTAATTGACCAGGGTAAATAGAGCAGAATTATTTCCCTCAAACCCACAACACAGGAAACTAAAACCGCCACAATATTTGAGAAATAAGTAAAAAGCATGTAGCAGAAGCATGTTTAATATGTCAAAACCAGTGATTGGAAACTCAGTGAGGAAGAGAGTATGATCTAAAAATCATAAGTGAGGAAGAAAGTCTTTGTAGTGAAATAATTTCAAGCAAAAATAATGATCTTAATGTTCATAACCACCGAAAGAATAAAAACTGAAAAAACAGCAGATGGCACAGACGTCATGTCAATAAGCCCATTTCTAAAACTACCATCTCTTACCTCTGATACCAGTTCGGCTCCCTTTAAGGCAGCCCATGGAACAGTAAAAAAAGAGCAAAGTGATATTGAAAGAGAGAGAGAAAGAAAGACATGAGAATTAGTAAAGAGAAAGAGATTGAGAGAGAAAACAATAGAAGATGAGAAGAGAATAATTTTCATGAAAGATGCTTGTCTTGTTCTGCAAAATGTAATTAATTTTATTGTGCCAACAGAGCAATGACATTCATTTCATTGTGTCAACAAATCTTATATTATTAGACATGGTCACAGTTAGAGGGGAAAAAATTACTCTCTGATTAGAGATATGAACTCTAAAACCGTGACTTTTAATATAACATCTAGGGTAAGACATCAAAATATTCCTTTCTTGTTTTGTTATATTTTTAGACCAATGTAGTTGGCTCAAAAACAAGAAAAACCGTTTACATATCAAACTATAATAGTGGCAATAGAGCATACAGTGTTTTATTATAGGTTATTATTTCAGTGACATTTCATTGACTAACCAGTTTTAGACGTTACCCTCCCAGTGCAGTTTAGCTAGCTAGTCAAGCTAAATCACTTTGAACAAATAGTAAAATATCTGATTATATTTATATCAATAATAAAAATAAATGCTACGTTGGTTGACGTGAAAGAACCAGCACCAACATGAGAATTTAACAGCAATGTGTCTTTAGAAGGGTGTCAGCCGGGCCTTGCGTGCCCTGCAAGGTCAACATGGCATGACTGCCCTGCATTAGCCGTCAAAACAGTCGTAATTTGCTTTACTAAACAAAACAGCGAATTTTATGAATCAAAAGATAAAATACTTACGTTCCTGCTGGCGCTTCCCCTCAGAACGTTAGATATTATGGTTAGCATCTTTCGCATACTATTAACACACAGCTAACCAGAAACAGATCTCTTTCAGTACTCCTCTCACACAAACCAGCCCAGCGTCAGTGAACGAGGTTTACACCCGCTGCAGATTCGCTGCACATCCCGTTGAAAATACTGCCTCCTGCTGACCAGAGCCCACACTACATCAGCGTTTCTCAGGCGTGTTCCTGAGGTTCCTACATCGAGGATCTCGATTCACGAATGTAGTATTCTGCTTTCAGTCATACATACATACACTACTTCATGCATCAATAAATATGTTTGCTCATTTTGTGTTTTTTGTTTTGTTTTGTTTTGTTTTTTACAATTTGTAAAGCAAGTGCCTTGATCCACCAGCAAGGCCCACTTACTGGTGTGTGCTAACACAAATAATTAAATTTAAAACATTTGTCAACGTTTAACGTTTATTTTAGAATTACAAGGTGTATAGCATTGTAATGTTTAGGTAATGCATGAAATTACATAAAAATATGGCATATAACCTGATTAAGGTCTATTTCTGCGTTTCTTATAAATGTTTTCCCTTTTGCAGGATACTGTATTTCAAAGATAATTTTGTAAAATCCAAATATGCTTTACAGATCTTTATTAGAAAGAGTTTAAACAATGTTTTTCATGCAGGTTCAGTGAACCATAAACAATTATTGCACATGCAGCTTTGGGACAGTCCTTCAAACACTTCAGACAGCAGTTTACAGGCAGTAGGCAATTAAGGTTACAATACTTTAGGACATTAAAGAGACCTTTCTGACTCTGAAAAACACAAGAAAGACGCCCAGTGTTCCTGAACACCTGCGTGAACATGCCATAGTTCTGCAGATCTGAGGACTGCAGATGTGGCCAGAGCAATAAACTGCAATGTCCATAATGTAAGACACCTAAGACAGTGCTACTGGGAGACAGGAAGGACAGCTGAAAATCTTTGCAGCGACAAACCACATTTAATCGTTTTTTTTAAATATAGATTTATAAATATTTAGAATATTTATAAATAAATATTATATAAATATAATAAATATAAATGTTTAAACATATGTTATATTTATCATTATAAATATTTATAAATATATTTCAGAGTTGTCACTGAGACTTCTGATGAATATGACCAACTGAAATATTATTATTATTTTTTTTAATATTTATATTATTAAATTGATGAACCATGATTTGACTTGCAGTTCGGTGGAAGGTGATTCTCAATTTGGAGAATATTTGATTGGACAAAAATGATCTGTTTTCCTTTATGGCTGTACATCATAAATATGTGCATATGTGGAACGTGAAGAGATCCATCATTGTCACCTATTATGAGCATACACCTTTTCAATGTGTAGCATATCTATGTAACCAGAACCTTCTATAAATTCCAAAACATGAGGCATCTTTATAAATGAAAAAGAAAAAAAAAGAAAAAAGAAAGAAAGAAAAAAGAAGAAAAAAAAGATATATATATATATAAAATCAAGCAAATAAAAATGTGATTTCTTCCTATTTTTATTTTATTCTATTATAGCTATTGCATAGCTCGCCCTATATTGGCCTTCTGTTATGTCGGAGGAAAGTAAGTGTCATGTGTTATTAACAATATATTTGAGAATATATCTGTGAGTTTATGGTTTGACAGTTTATTAGGCTCCTCGTGTGGCTCTATCTTTCTCCAGAAGCCCTGTCCTCACTCTTCTCTTCGCCCGGCTTCTCTGAGGGCACGTTTGTTGTTTCTCGGAAGTGACGAAACCAAAGTACAGATGGCGGCTCACAGTTTGCTCCCGGATATGTACTGAAACGAATTTGATGGCATCTTATTGGACTTTTTGCATACTTTGCCATTTGTCTGAGGTCTCGAGATTAACATCGAACCTGTCGAGTACAGGAGTCGTCAATCCGAGGAGGGATCATTTGTTGTAGAGCTGTCTAGATCCAGAGCTAGCTGCCTTGCCAATGAAATCCAAGTCCAGTTAGCCCTTGATCGCAGAGGCTGGTTTGAGTGCGTGGCTACACGCTTTAAGACGTTTGACATTTTAGCAGTTTTGTGACACTGGCTGGTCCAGGTGCAGCAGAGTCTCTGGATTCTGTAGTTTGGTTAGCCTCGCTCGCGGGACTTTAAAAGCAAAGAAGCGGCGGGAAGTGGTTAGCCGACCTGATTAGCTGTAGCCGTAGTTCCAGCTCTTCTGAAGTCATTGGTCTCTAGTGGAGAGTGTGAATCTCTTCTATGGTTCACCGTTGCGCCGTTCATCGACTGTCAGCATGTTGAAGACTCGTCAGTGTTTACTCGGGATTCGCACCTTCCTTGGAGTGACGTCTAGAATATGGAGTTTCATTTTATACATCCTCAGGAAACATCTACGAACGGTGAGCAACTCAACATATGGCATGTGAACACGTGTTTATCTGTTCTCTATAGAATTAATTCCGACCTGTCGTCTGTAAATAATATGTTTTCTTCATTTATGAGCTCCTTTCTTCAAATAATAAACTGAACTGAACTAATCTTCAAAAGACAAACAGCTACTGGTATCTTTGAAATGTTAGAATCTTTATAACACTTATTGTACTAAGTCATTCGAGTAATATTGTTTTCATGCACTAATTCCTAAGAGTTACCAGACATATTGTTTATTTTAACCCTTTAACCCTGTTCAGATTTTTGCAATCGATAATATTAATATATTTACTGAACTGTCACTTATGCAAAATTTTATAGTGCAAATAAACATATAGCCTACTATTCAGCTGTGTCGTTGTAGGATCTGTAATAAAAATAACTTGGCATATGAGAACAGAAATATGTTTTGGATTTGTTATATGCTGCTTTAATTGTTGATTTGTGTTAAAGTTCCTCATACTCATTGTATCAAAAAAAGTTTAATGAAACTTTGGCACAGTAGTAGGTTTCAGATTGTGCCTGCTTCAGCTGTGCCTCTGTAACCCCGGGGGAGTGTGTTTATGATGCTGTTTGTCCTAATTACTTTGGACTATGGACCCCCTACAATATGTTTAGCCTGCCATGAAAAGAGGTACAGACCCAAAACTATTAAAGTACAATACGCTCACTGAGAATTGTATTAAATACATTTTATACATGTTTTCTTCTTCTTGTAAATGTTTTGTTAAAAAATTAAGTTTTAAATTACTAATAATTGCTGGGAATAATACAGTTATCTCATAACGTCATGACAGCTATAATTTCATAAACACACCATTGTTGGAAATCTGTTTATAATTTTCAAACTGCACTAATTGATGCACCCAAGACCCAGGCTTCTCTGGAAAAACCAAATGACCTTGAGTTGTTTTACATAACTACCTGAGCCAAAACAAGTTTGTATTTTTAACTTAAGTTTTATTCTAATCACACAAAACGGTTTGTATTTTATTTATACATAAAAGTCACATTACATAAGTAGATAAGAAAAGTACACTGATTTTTCTACTTGCCTTACACTTCTATGACAACTTTTGGCAGCTGTTTTGGAGGTGTATTAATAGTCCAGTTGTGGCAGTATGGGGCCATTCTAGGTGCGTGACTATATAGATGTCTGCTATACGATGCCCTCATCTGAGCTTTGCACCAGCGTGATGAAAGGGCCAAAGAAGATGCAATATTAGGAAGAGAAACTGATCATGAAAAGAGCCAGAACTCTATAGGTCCTCTGTACGATCGGTCTGAATATCTGAATGTGTGCATTTTGGGAGCAAGGAAAAGACTACATGATTGTTCCATGTGCATCACTGGCTCTGTCTTTGTCTGCTGTTCTGTCTTCCACAGATAATCCAGTACCAAACAGTGCGTTATGACACATTACCTCTCTCCCCTATTTCCAGAAACAGACTCAGTAAGTTCCCTCACCCTTCTGTTATGTGCAGTTTTGTCCACTAGGGGAGCTTCTAACCACACAGCTGGATGCAGTGTTGCAATTTTTTGAGGACTCATTTGTGAACCAGAATCTGTTGTATCAAAATCACTGTCAGCAGAGATTTTTGTTTTTTAAGAATTGAGTACATTATACTTTGGGTAGAGTTGATATCCCTATAAAGCATTCTGGAAAATAATAATAATAATAATAATAATAATATCTTGGGAAAATTTTTTTTTTTCATCCAAGTACATTACAAGTAGCGTGGGTGGATTATGAATTGAGACAAGAATGAATTGAGATATATATATATATATATATATATCAGGATTACAGAGATTGAGTGGAAGAAGTCTCAGAAAGGGATCTTAATCTTTTCATGGCTGAAATTCTTATGGACATGAGATCATATTGGCATAGGATTGGGAGAGGTTGGAGGACCTGAGATGTTAAAGGATTTCTGAATGTTGAATCACCACTTTTCACTGTGTGTGATGCTTATTGACCGTTTGCTGCTTAGATGCGGTGAAGAGGAAGATATTGGTGTTGGATCTGGATGAGACTTTGATTCACTCTCACCATGATGGCGTCCTTAGACCTACAGTGAGGCCTGGTACACCGCCAGACTTTATCCTCAAGGTACACACATGCACCTCTCCGACAATGGATGTAATCGTTTATTTCGGTAGTTGCTGCTTTTTGGGAAATGCAGGGTGTATTTCACTCAGCACTTCACACATTTTACTGTCTATTGAAAACCTGATTTTTTTTTTTTATTAGAAATATTTGTATTCAGCAAGCATGCTTTTAATTGACAGTAAAGGGATTGCAATGTAGATTTATAATGTTACAAAACATTTCTGTTTTTTATATATATATATATATATATATATATATATATTAGTTAGCTTAGTTAATTTTATACATGCATTATATATCTATGTATGTGTGTGTATAAAATTAACATTATATGCATTATAAAATAAATGTAAAAAATTTCCGTTTGTTTGTTTACAAGTACGTTGTATACAGTGGGTACGGAAAGTATTCAGACCCCCTTAAATTTTTCACTCTTTGTTATTATTGCAGCCATTTGTTAAAATCATTTAAGTTAATTTTTTTTCCTCATTAATGTACACATAGCACCCCATATTGACAGAAAAACACAGATTTGTTGACATTTTTGCAGATTTATTCAAAAAGAAAAACTGAAATATCACATGGTCTTAAGTATTCAGACCCTTTGCTGTGACACTCATATATTTAACTCAGGTGCTGTCCATTTGTTCTGATCATCCTTGAGATGGTTCTACACCTTCATTTGAGTCCAGCTGTGTTTGATTATACTGATTGGACTTGATTAGGAAAGCCACACACCTGTCTATATAAGACCTTACAGCTCACAGTGCATGTCAGAGCAAATGAGAATCATGAGGTCAAAGGAATTGCCTGAAGAGCTCAGAGACAGAATTGTGGCAAGGCACAGATCTGGTCAAGGTTACAAAAAAATTTCTGCTGCACTTAAGGTTCCTAAGAGCACGGTGGCCTCCATAATCCTTAAATGGAAGACGTTTGGGATGACCAGAACCCTTCCTAGAGCTGGCCGTCCGGCCAAACTGAGCTATCGGGGGAGAAGAGCCTTGGTGAGAGAGGTAAAGAAGAACCCAAAGATCACTGTGGCTGAGCTCCAGAGATGCAGTCGGGAGATGGGAGAAAGTTGTAGAAAGTCAACCATCACTGCAGCCCTCCACCAGTCGGGGCTTTATGGCAGAGTGGCCCGACGGAAGCCTCTCCTCAGTTCAAGACACATGAAAGCCCGCATGGAGTTTGCTAAAAAAACACCTGAAGGACTCCAAGATGGTGAGAAATAAGATTCTCTGGTCTGATGAGACCAAGATAGAACTTTTTGGCCTTAATTCTAAGCGGTATGTGTGGAGAAAACCAGGCACCTGTCCAATACAGTCCCAACAGTGAAGCATGGTGGTGGCAGCATCATGCTGTGGGGGTGTTTTTCAGCTGCAGGGACAGGACGACTGGTTGCAATCGAGGGAAAGATGAATGCGGCCAAGTACAGGGATATCCTGGGCGAAAACCTTCTCCAGAGTGCTCAGGACCTCAGACTGGAACTAAGGTTTACCTTCCAACAAGACAATGACCCTAAGCACACAGCTAAAATAACGAAGGAGTGGCTTCACAACAACTCTGTTACTGTTCTTGAATGGCCCAGCCAGATCCCTGACTTAAACCCAATTGAGCATCTCTGGAGAGACCTAAAAATGGCTGTCCACCAACGTTTACCGTCCAACCTGACAGAACTGGAGAGGATTTGCAAGGAGGAATGGCAGAGGATCCCCAAATCCATGTGTGAAAAACTTGTTGCATCTTTCCCAAAAAGACTCATGGCTGTATTAGATCAAATGGGTGCTTCTACTAAATACTGAGCATTTTTCAGTTTTTCTTTTTTAATAAATCTGCAAAGATGTCAACAATTCTGTGTTTTTCTGTCAATATGGGGTGCTGTGTGTACATTAATGAGGAAAAAAAATTAACTTAAATGATTTTAGCAAATGGCTGCAATATAACAAAGAGTGAAAAATTTAAGGGGGTCTGAATACTTTCCGTACCCACTGTATATATAAATGCAGTCTTTTGAACTTTCTATTCATATCAAAGATTCCTGGAAACATGTATCATGGTTTCTACATTAATGTCATTTTAATTTGTTTTCACCCTCAGACAATGCAATACCTATAAAGTCGTGGTTCAGTGACCCAAGCGACACAGCACTTCTTAACCTGCTCCCAATGTTGGATGCATTGAGGTATAAACATTTCTTTAAGTCATGGTCATAGTAATCTCTTAATCATGATTAGGCCTACAGAGAATTTATGCCATATAAATTCTGCACAATTTGAACACCCTTAATTTTTTTTGAATTTCTACACATACCCCTTGCATGTTTATTATCATTTTCATGCCGTTTTTAGCCATTATTAAGATTGTAGTGCCCTCATTTAATAATGGTACCATATTTAAAGGGATAGTTGACCTAAGTCATCATTTATTTACCCTTTCTTCTGTGGAATCGGGTCGTCACCGCTGCGGAGTAACACATACCTGCGTGAATCGCCATAGACATAAACTTAGAGAAGTAGCTCCGGTTGGAATCTTCTTCCGCGGGATGTGTGCAGTTCTGTTTATTAACCGCTAGAGCGCCAAAAGTTACATAGTGCTGCTTTAAAATAAATATCTTAGCATTATTTTTCCCCATACAGTGGAAGTCTACGGGTATTGAAACTGTTTGGTTTCCAACATTCTTCAAAGTATATTCTTTTGTATTCCACCAAAAAAGAAAGTCATACAGATTTGGAATTGCATGAAGGTAAGAAACAATGACACAGTTTTCATTTTAGGGTGAACTATCCCTTTAAATTCATCCCACAGATTTTCTTAAATGATCAGCAGACAAAATGTGGGGTAGGGGGAGTGCATGTTCTGTGTGGGCCAACTGCATAATACCAGACATCTGAAAGACTTGCTCTCTGGCATTATTTAGCAGAAATTTGTTTAACAGATGCCAGATTGTTTTCACCACTGTGATGAGCCTGTCTGCTTTAGCAGTTTTGAACAAACATGCTTGGGATCATTCCTTACCACCCTCATGTTTTTACATGTCTGCAGTCAGCGCAACCTCAGTTGTTGGCAGCGCACCTCACCAAACCACACTTACCAAGAAGCACGTTTTTGCATTCAAATGCAGGTAGATGTAGGGTTCTCAAGGCATTTTTACAGCTTTTTTTTTACTTGACGCAGCATCTTAAAAACACGCTGCTCTTGGTGCAAAATGCTAGAAAAAAAAAAAGTCAAGACAGTCGCAACTGCCAAAGATATCTGTCTGAATGTATACATAGACCAAGAAGTCAAATATTACAATCATAATACAAAAAAGCATTCTGTGTGACAGTGTACACAGCTTGACAAACCTGATAGCAAAAAATTTCCCTTTGAATACCACGGGTGTGTTTCTTTATTTCTCTTCAGAAAACAAGTGAAAGTGTTTGGGATTTTTTGCACATGACTGCTATATGTTATGGAACTTTTGTCTTATGTTGCTGTTTCAGTAAGTTGCCCTTACTGTGTTTTCACTCCCTTTCTAGGTTTACCTCAGATGTTCGCTCCGTCCTCAGTCGAAATCTCCACCAGCATCGGCTTTGGTGATCGTATCTTTCAGGGCCAGTCTCTCTTCTGGTCACAGTCTGGTTTTTACATGGCTCTGCCCGCTAAGTGTTAGCCTCTCCTGTGCTGGAACTGTCAGCCTCTCGTCATTGTGAGCTCCCATTAGTCATATGGACTCCTCTGAGGAAATGCTATGAGAAGACATGGGAGGACAGAAAGGAGAAGACACGTGATGAAGAAGCGATTGCAAATAAACTCAAGACAAATGGAGAGGCCAGCATTTTCTTCTTGTATTTTTTTCCTTAAAAATGGAAACTCTGCCTTACAGTTGTTGGATTCAACATGTGCATGATGGAGTGTTTCTGAGTGAATGGGGGAGAAAGCTTCTGATTCCAATTTTGAAATGGATCAGTGAACGGGTTGTAACTACCAGTCACTTCATAAGCACTTATTCCCACTTCCTCAATGACTGTGTTTGTCTTTTTAGTTTCGTATGACCTTAGCACAAATGGTCACATGGTCTTTTATATCCCACTCATTCTCTCGCTAAGATTCTGTCCTTCCTCTCCTTTTTTTTCTGTCTGCCATCTCGGGTATCTCGGCCTGTTCTCTATGTTAAGAGCTGAGAGCCGTTAATACTGTTGTACTAATAGTATGCTGTGGAAGAGATAACTACGATCAGCAGGAGAGAAAACTACAGTCCATTATTACAGCTTATGGTATTAATTTTCTGTGTATTTTTTAAATGGCTCATATGTGAAACCTCTGGTTAAATCAGAGAGGTTTTCGAAGACACATTTTTAGATGCTCTTCGATAGGAATACATCAGCCACTGAGAGTGACACTGAGCAACAAGGACTCTGCTATAACAGAAGAATAAAATAGAGCCTTTTGTCAACAACTGAAATGACAGTCTGTTCCACTTTTTTGGGGGGAATTTTAATTCAATTCAAATTTATTTGTATAGTGCTTTTCACAATACACATCGTTTCAAAGCAGCTTTACAGAAAATGCATGTCTACATTACAATTTAGAGTGATCTGCTATCGGTTTACAATTTAGATTAACTAAACTTTGCAAAGTGAAGGATTCAGACCCTTAACCAATTTTTTATTTTACTGAATTATAGATCCTCGATTCTATTTTGTTCTGTGTGATATTTCGAAACTGTAAATGACTTTGAAGTCCACATGAAATGAAAATTCGCGCTATCTATTTTCTGAATGCATCTTATTGTGAACAAATTGTTCATGCATGTTTTTAATTTTTTAGACCTCATGATTTTTAATGAAAATACCATAACTCAATCTTCCGGTGATGGGCAGACTTTTGTACAATAGACTGCAAGCACACATTTAGATCTGTCTCTGTCCACTCAACAACTGATAGATAAAACTAAGTCCCACCTTACATTTTTTTTTTTTTCCGATAAGCCATTTTACCTGGATGTACGTCACAATACACAAGAAAATATCTGTCACTACTTCCATTAAATCACAAATTTAATGTGAAAATGTCATATTTTTAGGTGAAGAGATTGTTCCAGCATTTAAGTGCAACCTATAACATCCAGGTGAAAGATAGCACCAACATGTCAGAATTTTTTTTTTAAAAGAACAGAATCACTGTGTTGGAAAGAGGAACACAGACTCTCCCTGGATCAGGAACGTCGCTCCAAACTGGATGAAAGAGCCAGGCGGAAACTGGTTAGAGAGGCGACCAAGAGGCCTACAGCAACTCTGAAGCAGTCGTGGGACTTTATGACAAAGAGTGGTCATTGTGTGCGTGTGACAGCAATATCACAAATTCTCCACAAATGTAGCTTGTATGGGAGGGTTGCAAGAATAAAACCACTCCTCAAGAAAGGCCACATGCAGTCAGTCTGAGCTTTGCCAAAACACACTTTGGAGATTCTGAGGCAGATGAGACTAAAATTGAATTATTTGGCCTCAACACCATATGATATGTCTGACGGAAATCCAATACAGCTCACCATCTAAATATCATCATTCCTACAGTAAAGCATGGATACAATAATATCCTGTTATTGGGTGTTTCTCTGCAGCAGGGACGGGAGCACTTGTTAGAATAGAAGGAAACATGGATGGGGCAAAATACTGTCAAATTCTTGAGGAAAATCTGCTGCCCTCTGCCAGAAAGTTGTCAATGGGAAGAAGGTTTACCGTCCAACATGACAAAACTGAGCACACAGTGGTTGAAGGAGAAAAAGCTGAATGTCCTTACATGGCCTAGTCAGAGCCCAGACTTAAACCCCATTGAAAATCTGTAGAATGACTTGAAGACTGCAGTCCACAAATAGTCACTATCAAATTTAACTGAACTTCAGCAGTTCTGCAAAGAAGAGTGGGCAAATATTGCAAAGTCTAGATGTGCAAAGTTAGTAGAGACAAATCCCAACAGAATAAAGGCTGTAATTAAAGCAAAAGGTGGTTCAACAAAATACTGACACAAGGGGGTGATCCTTTTTCCAACTAAGTGATTCTGTTTTTGTATTTATTTATTTTTTCTGACATGTTGGTGTTATATCTTTCACTTGTATGTTATAAGTTGCAGTTATCTAGTAAATACAGCTAGATGAAACAAAAACTGTGTCTGCCTTCATTTCAGGCTGCAAAGCAACAAAATGTGATTATTTTAAAGAGAGGTGATTCTTTTCTAGACCCACTGTATATAAACCATTCTTATACAATTTAATTCAGTGGAGCATTTAATTATGTGAGAATGGCTTTATGAATGATCAAGAATTCATTCTGCTTGTGTTTCACGAATAAGGCCCAGTGTTTAAAGTGTGGGCAGTGTTGGATTTTGAATTTGTGCCACCCTACAATTACAGTTATGCAGAGTTTGTGATGGTAAACTAATGCATCATTGTTCCACTTACATCGTCAAAGAAATTGTTGGCTTTACTGTGGCTTTTTGGCTTGTCTTCCAAACAATTTTGAAGGATGACTTTTTCTAGGGACTGCCTGGGTGGCTTGATAGTCAATGTCTACTGTTGTTCCTTTTTCCTTATTTAGGCATTTGTTGAACTAAATTGTACTATTGGATTTTGAATACCTCTGTAAGGTACTATGACCTAAAGTCCTCTCGGCTTACTTTGCCTCATGGCATGCGTTTGACATTTTGTCTATGTTTTACATTAAACAACCCTCTACCATGTCCCCTTAGGAGAGGGAGCAGCCTGTTTGCAAGCAGTGAAAATACCAGATAGTTTGCGTGAAAATGTATGTTTTCATTGAACTTGAAACTGGTCTGTGGTTTCTAATGACTAAACTGTCAAATTTAGCCGGCATTTTATTTTAGTGTTTAGTTCTGCATTTTCAGGTAATACTACGTAGGCCTCCTGGCTACTGCAGACGTCATTACGCAGCTGATGTGATGCGACGTGCGCCGCCTCCCTTGTGCCTTGTTATTGGATATCCCTCCGCCTTCCGACGCAGTTGTCAAAGAAAAAAACCTAAGCTAGTTTGTAAACACCGTCGACGGCAGATTTTCTTGGAGATATTTAAGATCTCCCAGTCCGTGAAAATGAAGTTTATGTACAAAGAAGAGCATCCATTTGAGAAGCGACGGTCCGAGGGGGAGAAAATCAGAAAGAAGTACCCGGACAGAGTGCCTGTGAGTCAGACAAATGAGTTGTTTTTGTCAGGGCCCCGCTCTTACAGATAACGTAAACCGAGGCATTACACAGTGACAACGCTAATATATAAGGGAAAAACTTGTGAATATAGTCATTCGTCTAGAAAAAAAACGAGAAATCATGCATATAATTATATGGTTAATTAATGAATTGTCATCGTCGTTTTAAACTGTCCTTCAAATATGAAAGGACTAACTTAGCGCTAGCGTCAGGTATAGCTTCTGTCTTAATTCGGAATTGTGGCGTCGTTTACAGTACAAGTAATAGAATAATCAATATCTTTTTTATAAGGATATATGATATAAGATTACGTTTAATACGTATTAAACATCATATAAAGATAGAGCTGGTAAACAGCTTTGTGTCTCTGCGAATCATTCAAGTGAACCTTGTTTTGACAGCGTCGAGGACAGAATGACTAGAATATGAAATTACTATTACCATTACCAGTAACACATTGCCATGTGGCCTCACACTAGGTTCATTTTCAGTTGCACTATGTGTTGTCCGTCAAATATCAGTTTGTGAAATTGGTTAGAATAGGAATGTGCCCTAAACTTCTCTATCGTTCTTCCTAACTCATTAGTATACTACTGAAAGCTGCTGTTATTCTCGTATTTATGGAAGTGTTTGTTATTACCACCAGTGATTTGTTTTTCACAGGTGATCGTAGAGAAAGCTCCCAAAGCCAGAATAGGAGATCTGGACAAGAAGAAATATCTCGTCCCGTCTGACCTCACAGGTTCATTTTCTTGAAAAATACATAATAATTTTGTATAATCTTTAATAGTATTAAAATATAAAGGATATGTATTGACTTTTTTTCTTATTTCTGAAGTGGGGCAGTTCTCCTTCCTCATTCGGAAAAGGATCCACTTGAGGGCCGAAGATGCCCTCTTCTTCTTTGTCAACAACGTCATTCCTCCCACATCAGCCACTATGGGGCTTCTTTACCAGGTACGTCTTTTTAATGTTTGTTCTAACTGAACCTTTTGCACCTGTTTGTTTATATGTGTAGAAATCATAAAATGTCATTTTTGATCAATGAGAACGAAGCATCTCTAAACTCTTCGTCTCTGTTTCTGTGTTGTAGGAGCACCATGAAGAAGACTTTTTCCTTTACATTGCCTACAGTGATGAAAGCGTCTATGGGGACGTTTTGAGAGATATGTAACTAATTTACTTGACCGACACTACCCTTCCTTAAAATAAAATGATCAATATGTTAGGCCACATGAAGTGTACATGTTGAATGCACTTTCATATCCTCCAAATATGTTTATAAATTATTGTTCGTACTCTATGCTGCCTGCATATTGTTCCTTCCTACTTAAGAGTTCCTCTTTGCTTTTATGCAGACCTGATACAACCTTTGTCCTGGTCTGTTTCAGTAAATTAGTGGTACTCGTATCCATAAAAGCTTTTTCAATGTTCTACACTTCTCCTTTCACCTTTTCTCACTTTCCCCCTGCACCGACATGCATCCTGCCGTCACTTTGCTATTCTGTCGATCTTTAATGTTTGGTTTGATTTTGTTTGTTAGCCACCATATTTGCACAGACCAAAATCACTGATAATACTGGACTATCATACCATGTAATGTGTGTGAGTGTGTTTGTGTACCATTGCCAATAATTATTATTTTTAAATCGGTTGGAATTGCTGTTTATTTGAATAAACTGGTTAAAATACTTTTTTTAAAAGTTTCTTTTCAGTTGAGATGCTGTAGGAGATTGCTTGTTTATGTTTCAATTGTATTATAATCATTATTATTAGGTTGGAGTTCATGAATTGATTGGCCTTTTTTTTGTTGACTTGTTTGTATTATGGATTGGTGTATTTTGTTTTGTTTTGTTTGGTGTCTAATTGTCATGGTCACCAATCGAAGCTTGCCACCATTATAAACTTGATGTAAAAAGCAACTTGTGTCAGTCTTTAATGGGTCTTGACTTAATGCTTTTCTCACAGGTCTAAGAATATCTGTTGTGCACATAGATAGATGGATAGAACTTCTGCCTTCCAATTTAAAAACAGGCTTATTTCCCACGTATTTACATTTACGCATGCTAAATTTAGCTAATAAGACATTTTATTTAGGTAATAGGACTCTTTTTTTTTTTAATTATAAGAAAAACGAAGAAAACATTTTCAAAACAGTTGAAAGCTGGGCTCAGTCACTGGGCTTTTTTTAAAATTTAATTTATTAATACTCAAAAATCAAGAACAGTACACAAAAATAATACAACCAT